ATAAAAATAGAGTCTATATATATATATATATAGAGAGACAGAGAGAGAGAGAGAAAATGTATAACAATAGAGTCAAAAAGAGTACAAATAAAACACAAGACCTATGTACATATGTAGTATTGCAGGCCTACATTAGTGCAGTCAGATGGATGGATAGCCTGGAAAAACTGTACTTAAGCAGCATGTGTGGTTCCTCTTTATAGTGATGTCAGAATCAAAATTTTCAATAGGGCCCCCTCTGGTCCTGCAATAAAGCCATTATTATTTCAGTTTATGTTGGATTGACATGATGTAACTGTCTGGTTAGTCAGATTACCAACGAGACTTGAACCTGCACATAGATAGTACCTAGGTTTGCATGTAAGTTCCACAAACCAACTGCACGGTGGTCAAATGATAACTTTTTGAATTCTTATTAAAGTCCACATCATCAGGGGCAAATTTACTAGACACAAAAGCCACCCCAAAAAACTCAGTAACCCCTGAAAAATGAGCACATATATGAAACATTTTAGTTTTGCTGAGGGGAAAAATACAAACGTTAAAGCAGCTACAGTAAATGAACAGCAGTTTGCAGCCAAGTGATTCTGCTTTTGGCAAATTAAGAACAGAAAGACTTATTTCTCTCTTGAGCTCATCCCTGGGGTTGTCATATTACTCATGTTAAGAACCAGTTTGATCACTATGTGAGCTAAAATAACCATAAAATGATTTTTGTTGTTACTTGAATCGAGTGTAACATTTGCCTGCAGATAATCAGGTGGGTAGGATTGAACTGTAATCAGAATTTCATTTCAATCTGAAGGGTACCACAAAAGCAGAAACAATATCATTTTATTTTTTCAGAAGACATCCTAGAATCATTTGAGAATCACCAGAAGCATTATCATGATCAGGCAGGGGTTATTTTCTAAGTCAAGGACTCAGTTGTTTGCTAGTTAGTGTGGAAGACGACTCTGCAGACCTACTGGGCTGTAAGTAGGTGCTCTAAACATGATGTAAATAATACATTTTCCTAGAAGAGAGCTGATTTGTCACTTCTGATCATTTCTTATCACCATGAATCACAACTTCAAACCATGTTAAGTGAATTTTAAGTAATAATTTGTGAAATATTCAAAGAGAAGCAATGAATATAACAGTGTTAGATTCAGTCATGCATTCATTCATTCATTAAGCCTTAAAATGTGGTCATAAATGATGAATGTTGATAAAAGGAAACATGGAAAGTGTAAGGACATGGTGGACACTTGGTATTTAGTCATTTCAAGTAGGCATGTTTTTACATGATGCAATACCAAATCTGTAGTCAATGTTACACAATTAAATGTGCCAAAGAATGGGAGAGCATTCATATGGAAGCTCAATATATGAGTTAAGTGATGTTTACCCAGTGTTCAACAGTGCAGGTCTGCTTGTGGTTCCAAGAGACCACAGAAATAGAATGGGAGGCAGAGCCTTTAGCTATCAAGCTTTTCTCCTGTGGAACCAGCTCCCAGTCTCAGTTCAGGAGACAGACACCCTCTCTACCTTTAAGATTAGACTTAAGGCTTTCCTCTTTGATAAAGCTTATAGTTAGATTTATATAATTTGTTTTAATCTAATTCTATTATGACAATGAGGAAAGGTAGAAAGGTACTTAGCATACTGTGATATGTTATCTGATATTTCATGGCATCATAACAACTAATGTGGCTGAACAGGAATAAGACTGACAGCCATCTTGGGAACTGCAAGCAAACAGGGGACCTGGGCCGTCCTGTTGCCACAGAGTATATTTAACCATACCAGTGGTTAGAGGTTTCTTCCGTTAAAGGGAGTTTTTCCTCTCCACTGTCACTTGCTCAAAGGAGATTTGTTGGGTTTTACTCCATAATATTAATAATAGTAAGGCCTAGACCTTACTTTGTAAAGTGTCCTGAGATGACTTTTGTTGTGATATGGCACTATGAAACCGAATTGAAAATTATTTGTCAACCAAGCTGTCATAAATCTTCAGAGCTCCACCATAAGCAACACCATTTTCCAAACCTAACCTACCCTTAACACAAAGAGCAGACATGTGTAGTAATTTACAGCATAGGTCATAAATCCTGCCTCCTCCATGTTAGTGGATGGGACATGAGCCAAACTCCAGTTTTTTTAATCTGCACAAAAACCAAAGCGCAAAAGTGACAATTAGCAGTTAGTTAGGCTATTTCCCCATCTTTGTGCTAATCTTAGTTAAGCAGCTACCGGCTGTACCTTCGTGTTTACTGTACAGACGTGAGAGTGCTATCAATATTCTAATCTATCTTATATATGAAACTGAAACGAACTGTTATGTTCTCTTTTTGCTTTTGTCATTGGTATCAGACATCTATTTTGGACATCAACAACTAGCTTTTTCCTCTTTCAATATGTCCCACTTGAGTGTGCATAACGTGGATGACAGAGCTTCATCACTGATCTACAGTATATTTGGCTCAATAAATAATTACAATTCAGCTTGACCTTCAAGTACATAATATGTTCTACTTTTGAAAAGATGCTGTTTTATAAGTTTTGTAATGAAGATGGGATCTACATAGCAGAGCCAGCCAGGTTTATACCGAAACTTAAATTAGCCAAAGAATAATGGCCCAACATCAGTAAACATTCCAGAAGTGTCTCTATAGAAACATTGTTATATGATACATTATTGCTGGATTTGTGCTCCGCTGTGGAGAAAAACAATAAAATAATCAATAGTACATACAATAAATAGACAATAGTATTGTCATTACAGCAGCATCAACACGTCTGTATTGATATGAAGCTCGATGCTGCTATAGTTATTCTATCAGCTCAAGCACAACCAAATAAAAAATTATCAAGCAGCAGCACAGACACTATGACTTACTCAGCAATGTAGACAGAAACACTGTGCTTGCTTCTTTAAGATATTCCTCTCAGAACATTGTATAAGCTGGCTCATACAAAAAAGTATTTGTCTTTTCTTGCTGGCAGAAACTCAAGCTGTTCTTTTTTCCCTGAAATCTTTCAAATGATCCTTTGTGATTCAGTTGTACTGAATCTAATCATGTTCAAGGTAATCAAAAGCTGAACAATTCCCACCAGCCCTATTAATACAAGGACATGTGTTATTTTAGTAGCTGTTTTAAATGGTTATAGCAGCTGCTAAAATGAAAGAACATGGGATTTAAAGTAGATGTCTGGATGATTTCTGCATCATCTTTGGTATGTTTGACATAAACGCATAGTCATGTACATCAGGACTTTGTATGGTTTATACAGTGATTTTAATTCACATATGGCAGAAAAATCCTCCAGTATTTGTACATTGTATAAATAAATATGTATCATAAAAGACATGCAAATTAATCTTATTACTTAATAATGTTTGTGCATATTATTTGAATGTGATTTGTCTTTGCCAAAGATCATGCAGAAGATCTTATCCATTCATCCATTATCTATACTGCTTATCCTGGACAGGGGCGCAGAGGGGCTGGAGCCAATCCCATTGGGGGAGAGGCAGGGTACACCCTGGACAGGTTTGTCAGTCTATTTATACCGAAACTTAAATTAGCCAAAGAATAATGGCCCAACATCAGTAAACATTCCAGAAGTGTCTCTATAGAAACATTGTTATATGATACATTATTGCTGGATTTGTGCTCCGCTGTGGAGAAAAACAATAAAATAATCAATAGTACATACAATAAATAGACAATAGTATTGTCATTACAGCAGCATCAACACGTCTGTATTGATATGAAGCTCGATGCTGTTATAGTTATTCTATCAGCTCAAGCACAACCAAATAAAAAATTATCAAGCAGCAGCACAGACACTATGACTTACTCAGCAATGTAGACAGAAACACTGTGCTTGCTTCTTTAAGATATTCCTCTCAGAACATTGTATAAGCTGGCTCATACAAAAAAGTATTTGTCTTTTCTTGCTGGCAGAAACTCAAGCTGTTCTTTTTTCCCTGAAATCTTTCAAATGATCCTTTGTGATTCAGTTGTACTGAATCTAATCATGTTCAAGGTAATCAAAAGCTGAACAATTCCCACCAGCCCTATTAATACAAGGACATGTGTTATTTTAGTAGCTGTTTTAAATGGTTATAGCAGCTGCTAAAATGAAAGAACATGGGATTTAAAGTAGATGTCTGGATGATTTCTGCATCATCTTTGGTATGTTTGACATAAACGCATAGTCATGTACATCAGGACTTTGTATGGTTTATACAGTGATTTTAATTCACATATGGCAGAAAAATCCTCCAGTATTTGTACATTGTATAAATAAATATGTATCATAAAAGACATGCAAATTAATCTTATTACTTAATAATGTTTGTGCATATTATTTGAATGTGATTTGTCTTTGCCAAAGATCATGCAGAAGATCTTATCCATTCATCCATTATCTATACTGCTTATCCTGGACAGGGTCGCAGAGGGGCTGGAGCCAATCCCATTGGGGGAGAGGCAGGGTACACCCTGGACAGGTTTGTCAGTCTATCTCAGGGCTAGAAAATCTTATAAATGATGCACACAAAAAATAAATAAATAAAAAAAATAAAATAGACATTTCAAAATCAATCGCACTAGGGTTTACAGTTCACATTATGGCTATATACTGAACACAGAAATTCTTAAGACAGAAACATAGCATAGTACAGTGTTTCAAATGACGTTTTGTATATGTTATTATAAAATGTTTGTCATTTTTTATTTAAAACTTGCCAGACTAATTCCAGCCCACTCAGTGCACTTGGTATTAATGTACTGAAGCCTAATGCTACTTAATTAGAGTCTGACTTCCATTTTTGTCCTGATGAATTGGCTCCACACAAATCCCTTGAGAACCTGTTTAATGGGGAAACGCAGTGTTTTCACTTAACAGCAGTCTCTATCTGTAGTTTTAACAAAATAATGTGCATCCTCTTGATAAATATATGACTAGTTTAATTAATAGATATATCTATAATGTCTAATTCAGGCGCCTAGGGCCCAAAAGCAGCACCACACACTTCATCTAGCCTACTGCGTCCTCCCTGGTGATAGCCTGCCATTCTGCCAGGTACCATATGGGTTTGTTCGATACAAAATAAGACTGGAAGAAGGGTGCGTATGCATAATCTGGACTACGATTAATTGAGCCAAAGAAGAAGAATTCAGCAACTGCGAGTGCTTATGGGTAGTTGTGTCTTTCAATACTGTTTCTCTCTGAAGCTAACCTGTTAAACAACTACATATCCCGGTATGTGTTCTACAGTTTACAAGAGTTTGTTTTGACTCGTGGAAGTGGAAGGTGAGGGTAGAACTACTTTAGCTTTTATTTCGTTAAGTAGTAAAATCTCCCGTGATTGTTGTTGTAACGTGAGAAATGCTGCTCAAATGTTATCTTCAGCGGTTACTCGTGACGTCAACGTAACATTTATAGTGACAACCATTGTACAATATGCCAAGGTAACCAGAATGTTAGCTTCACTAGTTGCAACTACTAGCATACAGTGACTGCAACTAAACTAACCACTAGGTAATGCTAACGTAAATACCGCGCTATAAAGGGTTTTACATTAGCTGTAAGTAACGTTAATCTGACTGTTGTATAGCCCGGGCGTCTTGCTTCACGATGCCGATTGCACATTTTACATGGTTGCTAGTTCAATATATACGGAGCTAGCTAACGATACTAGCTACGAGGCTAACGTTACAACAGGCCAATAGTGGTGGTAGAAGTTCTCAGCTCCTTCATGCGTATTAGTAACGTTGTACTCTGTTACAAGGTTTATTTAAATGTTCTACATACCAATACAGATGTATTATCAGCTAATACTATTTCGTTTTAAACTAGACACTTGATAGAAAATATTGTGACGACCGCTGGCTGGGTTGAGGAGAGCTGGCCTGACCCTATCCTAAACTGTGACATCTAACTATCCAGCTGTGTGCTGACACTGAGGAGAACACCGTCTCTGTCTTTTCTTGGCTTTATTCAGGCGTACAAAAACACGAAAGAAAAGGGTTGTAAAACGCAGCACTGTGTGCTCACTGGAAAAAGTAACAAAACAGAACATTACAGGTCTCTTCCCGAACTTTACCATCGCCCGCCAACAGAACCTAAAACCACACACCCACCTGTCATTCCTCTTATACCCTCCCGCACCTGTTCCTGTCCTGTCCCTGTCCCCCCCCCCCAGAACAGCGCGGCATTTTGCTAGAAAACAGCGGTAACCAATACATGAACAGCTTTCAACAACAGTGTCAAACCCATTTGCACACAACAGAACACACGAACATCAGCGGCCGGTCAGGTTCGCCACAATATTAACCAGCAGTTTGTGTAATTTCTTTCCGAGATAACGTAAAAGTATTGAATGTTAATATGTTCCGTTTTCATTCTCTCATATAATCTCTTTAGTCCGATATTATTTCTTCACTGTCGCTTTATCTCAATTTACTTAACTACGTCTGATTTCTCAGTGTCTGTATGTCTTGGATTGTCTGATACAAACAGGGAGCCATGGACTTTCCTGAAGATTTCAATCAGCTTGAGCTCCTGAATACACAGGGACACTTGGTCCCCCATGGGGCCAGCAGCCAGTGGACCGGAGCAAAAGATGAGGAGGAGGATATGGAAGAGGATGAGGAGAGCCACTGTGAAGAGTGGTACTTAGAAAAGGAGGCCACTCTCAAAGACAAACCAAAGGAGCTCATCCTGTGGGCAGCAGAACACAATCGTGTAAGTGATGTTTTGTTTTGGTACCACCTTCAGAACTCAGACCTCACCTGTTTATTCCACTCTGCACTTGAACTCTGTGTTTTAATGGGTCATATGTTTGATCAGCAATGATGGGTGATTGGCCAATCACTCTGAGATATCAGATTCTGTGCTGGTCAAATTTACACACACGATGGTTCATGTCTAGCACACAGTGGCACAGACCAAAAGCATAACAAGACATGCTGTCTATACATTTTCACTCTACACCTGTCATGCAGCTACAGGGTAAGCAAAATATACAGAGTGGGTAACATGGATAAAAGTGTCTATCACACTGTTTGTAATTTTGGATCACAATACCAATATGCAGGAAATCGCCACAAACATTAATTTCCAGGAAAATCCAAGCAGTTGATGGATAAACATAACCAGAGAGGCAGATCTGTTTTAAAAAACATAAAACAGCCCTGCTCATTGATTTACAATATTGCCCAGAACTGTCTAAGACACAGAGCTGTTTAAAAAAAATAACTGCCACAAAACAGTGTTGAAAAAGCTTTTAAAAAGTTGTTTTTCATTAAAGAGCATAACTTAAGTAAACAATGCTGATACTCAAACAACAATGTTGAATCCCTTTTTAAAAAAAATCCCAAAGAATTGTGACCAAGCTAAATACTGAGCTGTACATTATAGAGTCAAAAGTAAACTTGAGTTGTCTCTGGACAAACTGTTTTATCTGTAATATTTTGATATTAAGCGGTGGACATATACACCAGTACTGATCTGCAACTGTTATCTGACAATGCACTACATAAATAAAGGTAATGCCAAAGGATTCACTTACTTTATTACTATATAAACATTTACAAAGAAGTTCACGTAGTGCTATTAAATATAAATAAAGTTTGAATATTTTGTTAGAGCAGTACCGGCGAAAAAACAAAAATGGCCAAAGCTGTCCCTTGCAGCAAAGTCACCATTTTGCTGAAAATAAATGGAGAAGATCAGCTAGAATAGTTGTGCGACTTAACTTTCAGTGAGTCAATTATTGCTACGGAAGGAAAACAACAAATGGCAAAGCATAAACACATTTAACATAACACCTGTTATTTCCTGACCCACAGTGTGTCCTTGTTTTTTTTCCAGCTCCCCACAGTGCACAAGTTGTTAGCAGCTGATCCTTCACTGGTGCACTGCTGTGATGAGGACGGTTACACTCCACTGCACCGTGCGACATATGGCGGCCATGTTGATGTTGTTTCTGCTCTACTCACTGCCGGATCTAAAGTGAACCCTCGCACCATCGATGGCTGGACGCCTCTTCACAGTGCCTGCCGCTGGAGCCGCGTCACCGTGGCAAGTTTTCTTCTGCAGCACGGAGCCGAACTGAATGCCCAGACCAACGGTGGGCTCACACCACTGCATCTGGCTGCTTCCCACACCAGCCTCACCAAAACAGACTCCGCCCACATCTTAGAGCTCCTCTTGTCTCAGCGACACCTGAAGCCAGGGCTCCGCAGCAGCAGTGGGGAGACGGCTGCTGAGGTGGCCCGACGCAGTGGGCCCTATCACTTCCTATTTGAGATGGTAGAAGACTGCGTCAATGTGGTACCGATTTTATGAACGAAAACACAGGTGCACACACAGTCTCACATTTACACATTTGTTTTCACTCTGGACAGCGGGTATGCTAGCGTTTCATCTATGTCATAAATTGCAAAAAAAATGCCTATTATAATTTCCAGTGCCACATCTTCATTACGTTGTGTTTGGTCAGCCCAGCAGTTCAAAACCCAAAGAGTTGTAGTTTACTATCATGTATGACAAAGAAAAGCATCAAATATTTACATTTAAGAAGCTGAAACCAGACAAAAACAGGCATTTTTGCTTAAAAAATGAGAAGTTATTCAATTGCCAAATAGACAAATGACTTAATTCACTAATGATTGTTTAAATAATGGATATTTATTAGATGTTACAGGTGAGCATTATTATATTTGCATTTGTTTAACTGAACTTAATGTGAACAGACTGTGGAAACCCTCATGTGTTTGTCTCCTGTACTGTCTCTAAAGCTGTATTTGATGTTCATGGTCTCATGGCAAAGCATTTATCTGCTGAAGTATGATAATACATGAATGCTGCATCTTTTGAAAGACAGTGGTCCTGAATCATTGTTTATTTCTGATGAAATGAATATTAGGGATGGGCATTTCAAGGTAAAATGCCAAACGATATTCACTGAACTGTATGACAATTAGCCAACATGGAGCGGCTGGTGTACCTATTAAAGTGGCTGGTGAATGAAGTCTCTCTGTGTAAATCCCACAGTAAAATACAACTCTTGTGGACATTTGGTCTTTATTTTCAGACCTGAAAGAACCCAGAATATAGTCCCTGAATGACACTGGTTCAATGCTATGTGTGGACAATTTCAAATGGTATGTTCTGTACTGCAATTCAGTGCACAGTGCTAATAATAGTGAGGAGTGTGCAGAATAACAATAGCTTTGTATCTGTTGAGTGAAAGTCTTTTTTTCCAAGAGGAAGCCCAGTTAAAGATACTCCCTAAAAGTGGACCCTAGAGCTTATCTTCAGGTAAGATTAGAAATTCATTGCACCACATATGGTCCATAGTGCTCCAAGTAGAAATTTATTTTTATTAGCAGCTAATCTTTTATTTTCTTGAATCATTGTTTGATCACATCTGAAAAGAGTGAAAAATGTTCATCCAAAAGTGCAAACTATTAATTACATGAAACAGAGAAAACTTTCAAATTTTCATACAGTATTTTAAGCAGCCACAGCCAGTTTCTTATTTGACCTGATGAAGATCCAATTGAAATTTTAAATACATCATAATAATAATAATACATATTTAAAATACCTTAATGTGGTGACATCTTTCTCCTGCACAAGACTCACACTTTAAGAGAGCACTTACATGTCAGTGAGATCTGGTGGTTCATCATGTACCTGGAAGGTGCCTAGAATGTTGTGATCAGCTGGAGAGTTTTGGGGCTTCTGTTTCCTAGGTCATATGATGTATAGCCCAATATCACAACTTACAAATTTGCCTCAAGGGTCTTTACAATCTGTACAGCATAAGACACCCTCAGTCTGTAGGCCCGTGAATCAGTTAAAGGAACCCTTTAACGGGGGAAAAATGCAAGAAACCTCAGGACGATCAATAGAGGCAAATCCCTCTTCCAAAGCCGACATGCAACAGAAGCTGAGTACAGAATAGAGCAACATAACGGATTTATAGTATGGACAATTGTCTCAATTGTCAACATATATGAAACATATGATCCAGGAGGACAAGCAATTTCCAGGTGCCTCCAACAGACTTGAGCCACACGAGTGCCTCTCTAGACATCATTCACACACAGGAGATGGAAACAACCCCACTTTAGAGAGAGAGAGAAAATGAGTGTATTCATGGCAACAAGGACCCTCGGTGACAGGGTGTAAACATCTCATGTCTCATTTCCATCATACATTCATTTTGCTGCTGTCTTTTTGGCAGCATGCGATGGAACTGTAAAACAGGCGAGTGCTGGCCCTTCATTGATGGCACAGCTACTGCTGTTCAGTGACACACACTTGTGCAAAGATGACACAAGTGTTATTTTGTCCCTGTCATCACCTAGCGCATACATACATAGTCACAATAAGTCACAACAGCCTGTAGATATCAACAGATATAACAAGAAGTCAATGTTTTTAACACCCTGGGTTTGTAATGTTTTTAATGGACTCTTTCCTAAAGGTGTGGCGATTCTGAGTAACTGTTTATTGTGATTTGTGTACAATTAAAATGCACTTTCTAGTAAACACTAACCCTGCAACATAGAATGAATACTAGCCAGTGGTGCCAGTCTGCAATTAATACTCAGTGTGAGAATGCAGACAACTACAGGAATGGTAAAATGAAAGAAACAAAGCTTAGGCTCAAAGCTCCATCCTTTGGTGATGGAAAAATAAAAACTACCTGTGGGGGGTGTTCGCCCTGCAGTGGAGTTCCACACATCCTCACTCCTCTCTCATTTAAAGGCAAATTTACAGGTAGCACCTGCTGTGCAATGATAGGGTTCTTATACGTACTGGCATTTTATTGTATTATAGAAGTGGGCTGTGAGGCTTCAAGGGGCAGATAATACTGAACAAGCTGGCGGTTAACCTTGTTGTCCATTTTTCCTGTCAGACAAATGAGGGGAGTACAGACAGAGCAATGCCACATTTTTCAATGATAATACATTTAATAAAAAATTTGATAATTTCAGGGAAAATGGACCTACTGTTCCAACTGCTTCGCTTCCAGTTGTTTCTAGTTAATTGGTACTGAGTATGTGCCTATTTGTCAGTGTTGTGTTTCTTATTCTGTGTAGACAATAGGCATTTATACATTTCAACATTCTCATGTGATCACTTATTATTATGATGAAATGATGGGATTGATGCAGCTCAGGAAAATAGTGATGCAGCTTGCAGTGATTTTGAAGTTCAGATTAGTTTGCTAGTAAAACAGATCCTATGGAGCTGAAGTGAACACGTGACTGAAGAAAGTTTTAACGTTTTTAAAGCTGCATTAACTAAGATTTTGCACACATTTGGATAAATCAAGTAAAAAAACTGTCTAGCTGTGTTTTCTCCGTGCTGTACTACCCCCCACCACCAACCCCACCTGGACCTACAATGCATCTGCAATTGAGGTAACAGCTTATTCCACCTTTACATGTTGTCTTTTAACATCTAGACTAATATGACGAGTGGCTGCAGAATGATCATTTTGGATGAGATGTACTTTCAGAGATATCCCAGAAGAGTCAGTAGCTCCAGGAGAGTAGGACAGAGGCAAACTCAAGTTTTAATGCTTTAAAGATATTTTTTTCAAAAAGCTGAGGACAGTTATCACGTTCATGAGTGCCAAATACTGATTACACTGTCTCACAGGTGGACAGCACACTCATCCACTCTGCTCTCACGAACTTCATCTCAACACAACTATGACGTCATCCACTGTTAGAAATCTCCAAGTCTCACCCTTTCAGCTATGTAAGGCATTTTATGGCCGTTGCTCTGTACCTTTCACTCCTGTCTGAAGCGCGGACGGGTATCCAGATGGTCAAAGCTGGGTAACATTTTTGATCGCAAAGATTTGTTCTAATAACAAGAAAATACCAAATTACTAAAGGTGTAATTTGATGAAGTTATTATGGCACTTATTGTAGATAATTGTAGAAGAAAAGGGTGGGCATGTCATTATTTCACTGGTGGCTTCAAGGCATTTTCCCTAATCAACATATAAAAAGGGGAACTGATATACATCAGAGATTTAAAGGTCAAACTAGCACAGGTGGACTGAGAGGAAGATGAACTGAACCTAACTGCATGGGACAGAGGATTACAGTTCACCACAGCCTAAAAGTGTACTCAGTGAGACAAACACAATATGCCAAAGCTGGGCTAATCATTTTTCAGCTGGATAACTCGTGATAGTTTTCTGGACATCACAGCTAGGAACCTATTTTAATTTAGCAATTACATTTCTACTGGAGGAAATATAATTGGCCTGCATTCACAACACATCAAGGATGTGTTGTGAATGCAAATTCATCCCTGTTCTCACAGCAAGACGAGGACAAAGCAGGGGCCTCAAGATGATAAAAGGACAGCGGTGTGGTTGTATTGCATTGCAGGGGGTTACTTAACCGTCACTAGAAAATCGGTTAAGTGCCATTAGAAAGGGAAATAGTTAGGTTTTGCTGTTCTTCCATCACACCTTTTCTTTCTCTGCCATTATTGTGAGGACATTAAGCCTTCAAAGGGCTTTTTGAGGATTAAGACTTGGTTTTAGGGCTGAGGTAAAATCGGGAAAGGCCTGGGGTTATCAAGTTGGCTGTGATGGGAACGGTTATGGTAGGGGTATGGGAATGTATTATGTCAATGAGTGTCCTCATAACTTTGAAAGACCTGGCAGTCTCTCTGTCTGTCTCTGCAGTCATTTAGCTGCCACATTTGGAGGAGGAACCGTTCTGTGGATAACATGATAAAAGCTGGTACAGGTAACAAAGGTTCATATTTAATCTAGAAAAGGTAAGTGGACCACATTTACATAGCACTTTTCCACACATCAGTGGTGCTGGCCTTTCTCTAGATGATATGGAAATAAAAGTTTGACAACATCTTTACTCTAATTTGAATCAAGCAGGTCAAGTCGAGCCCCTATAGGTCAGGCAATTCACAAGTCATGTCAAATGAAATTCTGATTTTTCTGATAATGTTATGAGAATATCATGTATTTAAGTGAAACGTTCACAAACCTCCTCTGGTTATTAATTGTGCGTTAAACTAATCTATTAGAAAAAAGTCACGTCCTTCGTGGCTAAACTGTTCTCAGTAAAATGTGTAATCGATTCGAAGCCAAGTCTGACGTCTTAAATTTAACATAATCTTTCCAGCTAACCTTTGACCGGCTGACAAGTTGACTGACGTTAGCTGAAAAGACGCGTTCACGTACTTACCTTTCGCGGTGACAGATGAAGTTGGATGTTGTGTCGCTGGTTTTTGCACTGCAGAGTTTCCACACCGCTGTCTTCTTCCAGGTACCGTCATCAACAACACAGTCCTTGAATCCAGATTTTATTTTTATTTTTAATTTTATTTATTTATTTTTATTTTTGGACTAGTTCCCCTCCGTGTCCCGCGACCTGCGGTGCCCTCTGCTGGGCCGGTCTGCTGCGTTCTGGTAGGTTGCCAGGTTTGCACTAGAAATCACCCAGTTTCAAAAACAGAAGGTTACTTCTCGATAGCTAGAAAAAAAAATGTAAATATTAAAAAGTGAAGTCACGTCAAGTCATCAGCATCAAGTCTACGTTGTCAAATCAAAGTCGTGAATACCAGAGTAAAGTCTTTTACCAGTGGTAGTCCAGCAAGACTCAAGACCTCAAATGTAGTCTGACTGGAGTCAAGTCATTTGCCTGGAGTTCCCAGCCTGTGGTAAAAAGAGCAATGAAAGTCAAGAAAAACATTAAAGTTACAGGCCAAAGAGCTGAAACTCATTATAAGTTTGGCCAGAGCTGCAGATTCAGATGAAAATGATTTGTCAATTAATCACTACTAGCAACTCCTTTCACATGGTCCTTGTAAAAACATCAATCAAATCAATGAATTTATTAGTTACCAATAGTGACCAATATCGATCCGGGCGGCAGAGGTCCCACATAATCTATTTGTTAAATTCCATCTGAAGCTTGTATGTATCCGATTGAACACATTAAAGCCCAAACAAAACTATATATCAGTAATGACTGGATACTGTCTGCAATAATCATTGTAAGATCTGATGTGAGAACCCATGGCTCCACCTATCCGATCCACCTATCCGATTGTCTTTGCTTAATGCTCATATTAAAATAAAATGTGACATTCAAAAACAAATTAGTTTTGTGTCTTGGATTAATTAGCATATGCATATCATACACACCTGACAGAGCTGCAAACTGAGGGCCAGGTTTACAAAGAATGATAAGCATGATATTCACATGAACAAGTAAGTTGTAGCAATATTTTATGTTGATCCTCACTAGTTCTGCAAAGACTGCATGTTGAACACAGTTATGTCCTCAGTGAGTCATGATTATTCAATGTCTAAAAAAAAAAATCAGTGTATGTATGTTTGAGCAACAGAACACTAAATCCACCAAATCAAACAAATTACAGAGATACTTCTGATTTATTTTCATGAAATGCTGCCTGGTTCTTCTACAATTCATTTTCTAAGAAATGCAACTAATTAATTTGATATATAAAGGATGTATTAGAGACAATGCATCATTGAATATCAGATCCTATTTACACAAGCAGCTGACTCTGCCACACTGTGAGTCATAGAGCTGTGACTCATTCATCTCAGCTTCACATATTGTTTGGCATGACAAAGGAAAGCTAACTGGGGATTTTCAGAAACTTTGAGTGTAATATCATCTAGAACTTTAGTATGTGAATTTATTGTTTGCATAGGGATAAAGAACGGTGTGCAAATTATATGAGATCTTCAAATGTTAAATAAAGGTTCTAGTTACTGAGCTTTTCCATCACCTTGGAGAAGTCACATCTTACCCTGTTACAGAAGAAAAGAAGAGTTCTTCAAATTAAATTATGATGTTGATTAATTTACATGCTAACAATAGTTAGTTTGCTTCTGACAAGCTAAATGTTGTGAAGGAGATTGTGGATCATAACCAGGATAATGTTTATATCATAATGTTACGTTAATACAAATCTCAGTTAAACTGTCATTTTAGAAAACATCCAAACATGTTGCATGGGAAAAACTAGATAGATATTTGACTGTACTTTCACTTTATGTATTGCAACATACATCAATTCCATGCCAAATTTTTTAAAAAATGTTTGTGTGCATGCACGCAGCCATGCGCGCATGTATCCCAGCAATGTTGCCAGCAGTTACAAATCCTCCACCCTATAGGTTCTCCTTTATTGTCTAAACACAAAGAAATGCACGCACTTGTGTACTGTAGCTGTGTGTTTCCTAGTGATGGCAGCTCCGTCTCCAAGAAAATAAATTATCCAGTAAACAAACAACTTAAAATCCTCTATTCTAAGATAACCTAGAAACGGCTTAGGTACAGTATTACTCATTTCACCGACCTGCTTCTCTTCATCTATACGTCCTCCTCTGTAAGTGGTTTACTTGTCGTGCGGAGAACCAACAAAGAATAATGGCTTTTGCCTTGACTCACCTCTTCATTATAATGCATGAAGGGTGTTAAAATAAATGTCAAGTTTAGTGAAATGTAGGATTGCAGTCAGATACATAGTTACTATTTTTTGCAGGCACATACTGTAGCAGCTTGTATCGCAAAGTCACGCACTGTTAACACAAACCTGTTTTGCTGCTTGCTTTCACCTTGTTGACAGTTCTGGACAAGGACTTTATACTGTATATGCGTAAGTCATAGAAAATAGATAAAATGAGTTCTTGAGCTTTGTCTGTGTAAACAGGGGTCCCTTGGAAATGTCACCATGTAGTGCTGCTGCTGGAGGAGAGTGTCAATGGTTCATCTTCAGTGAAACCTGCGATGTTGACGGTTGAACTGATATGTTTTTAACAGTTGTTGCTGGGTGCTTTACTGCTTGCTTAGGTGATATCTTCTTTAATTTACATTTGACCTTTATTTAATGAGGATGGTCTTCACATGAATCTCCTTTAAGAGAGATTCCTTTAACCCACGCTATTCAGAGTTTCACCATTGAAAGTGAACGACCTGACTGGCCTTTTTCTGGCTGTCCTCTGTGACTGATTTCAGTCTGGTGTTCACAGCTCACAGACAGCTCATTTTGTTCTCAGGTTGTTTTCTGTGCTCTTCTAGTTTCATACCAAGGTCCTTGGTGTTTGCTATTTGCAAGGCTTTCTTTATGTTTTGCAATTTTGTCTTGAAAGTGACACTTTGGATACAGACAGGAAACTTTGCTACATAGTTCTGAAGGCTGGAATTAATCTAGGGAAGCTGCAGTATATAGACTGTATGGTTTTAACCCCTAGTCCAATAGGACTCTCTTCACTGGTGTAGTATTCCTCACAGCTACTGCAAGTGATTTTCAAATCTTCTGATCCTGAAATGGGTTTTTCAAAACATTATGAACACCTCAGCATTCTAAAGGGTGTTGGCTTTCAATATGGGTCTGCACAAACCTGCCTGTTACTTATTAACATTGTTTCCACTCACATATTGACAAGTTTCATTGCGTGTGTTGGTGTATTTGGACACACTGTCTCTTGGTGGATACTGGGCTGGGAGACTTCAGAATATTGGTTGCCCTCAAATGAAGAGCAACTACATAATAGTCAGGTATAGCTGCAGATGATGGCTTCATGATGGCTTTTGAATTCATAAAAAAAACTCCCCACTGAAGGTGAATTGTGGTTAAAGAGCACAAGCAGTTGGTGCCAACTGAGTCGCCTCATGCCGTTTTCTCTGGTATGTACTGATGACTCATACTGTCAGTACAGATATGCACTTACTTTTACATCCAGGGGAGAAAGACATTTTCTTTTACTACCTACATTGCAAGTGGGATTTGTATTCTCAGAACTAGTTTTTCTTTTCATATAAAGGTTTCCTAGAACTGGCTTATGAACCAACACCTCCATCTAGTGCTTTAATAGTGAATGGCATGTGGGAGACTAGGGCTGGGTTATACTGGCATCAGTACTCAGTTGTGTGCGTTACATTCAACCCTCATGTGAAATCACCTGAGGGAAGAGTCAAAAGCTGGCCGTCACAAAGAAAGGTTGGCGTGATATCGATTAAATATGGGGTGCACATTGTCAGGTAGTCTCTGGAAGACATTCAGTGTTGCATACTGTTCATATGAAAAATGTTACAAATAGCTGTGTAACAAATGAGAAAAGAGCTAGAACGAGAAAAGGAAAACTCAGTGTACTTTCTCACATCCGCCCAGCTGACCAATCGCTGAGTACAGTGGTTGTGAATGTCGGACTTCTGGAAAGAAATGGCTGGGGTTTCTGAAGCTCAAGCACATCTAAGGAAGCATATGGCAGCTTTAAGAGGCCAGGATACTTCAGCCAGAGTGCTGCTCAGATAGCTTCAGTCTGTCTAGTTCTCATTTTCCATTTCAAATAAATGTTGGAATGTTTGAGTCATCTTTGCTCATGCCCAACTAACACTTGTTACAATTTTATCCACCTCCGCATTCATAACAAAAAATACTGTCAATTTCAGACTAGCTGGACCTGACCCCTAAGCTGTAAACACCTTTTTCAAAAACAAATTCTAAATATGCAAGAAATAAATGTTCTCCAGAAATAAGCATTTCATTTTGAAATAAATAACCACAGCACAAAACAGATTTTAAAAGTTTGATGACTTTTTATAAAAAGACAAAACATAACACAATAACCAAGGCATGTCATACATTGTGTTCTTCCTTTGTTTCTCTGGGGAATATTTACAAACAAGCTTATGTGCAGATAGCAATTACTCTGAAATGGAAAAAAGCTACGCATAGTCTAGCACATACAACCAGTTAGCATAATGATAATATATCTGTTATGTACAATGTAACTGGCAAGGAGGCTAGAGCAGGAACAAACAGAAAGAGTCTGCAAAAGGCTTAAATAATTTCAAGTATCTGTCTTGAGGTTTCATGGAGGTTTTAGTCCAATGGACAAAGATTTTCAGCAACAATAAAGAAAAACCAAAAATGTAGTCTAGCTGCAAACTGTGTACTGTGGCGGCAGGGAAAGGAAAGGAGGAGCTCTAGCCATTGCAAAGGACGACACAAACGGTACACCAAACACAGAACAATCACTTCTCTGATAAATGCCCACTTTTAAAGAAACTTTTAACATGGGGAATCTCTTCTCCACACATAAAGTGATATCCAGCTTATTGGCCTATAGCACCTTTTTACTGCTCTGAATAACAAATGTGCAACAGGCAGAAAAAAGAAAACAGTAAGAAACATGAACATACTGCTCTGGGGAAAATGGTAGCTGTTGACATCTTGAGTCTGTTTAAGGGAAACGGGTCAAAACAACAGGTTTCCAAACAGTTCTTAAAGAGTATGTTTCTGGACTTTGTGGTTTAACTAAACATCTTAGGCATCCAAAGGTAACTTCACTACATTCTGATGCCATTTCATTGTCTCCATCATCAAAAAATTATCGTGTTCCATTTAAAAAAACAACTTCAATATAACTTCACAAGCGTAACTCATTCATCAATAGTACCTTACATGTAAATTAAGGTGCAAATATAAGGAAACCATAGTCAGAATTGCAGTCAGCTGTATGAAAAGAAGTACTTTATTGAGGAAAAACCTGGCTATTTGTGTAGGTTAGAAGTAGAGAGGCCTACTATAATTATAAAGCCACTATTAAGAAAAGTGTGGCCTGAGCACAGGCCATTTGTCCTGTTAACATCTCCAAGTGCATAAAACACTAATGCTACTTCATGACGTTCATATAACAACACGGTAGGGCTCAATTGCCTCCCTTATTTACGTTTCACTTTAGTGTATCATTTTGAAAAGAGAAAAAAAGCTCTTATACAATACAACACAGGCTGTGGCCAGTGCTATGGTCTCTGAAGGCATGTCTCAAACAGCACCCAACCAAGTGTGCCCGCACCCTAATACCTAAAAACCAGGAGCACCATGAAAACTCGTGTCATTTTTAAGACTACTTTAAAGTAGAGCAATACAAATGGTTAGTCAAAATTTCTGTTCTTGTAGTCATGCCATCATGTGTCAAGTTAGAGGCCATTTCAACATCATAGCATGCCACCAAAAAAGTAGAGTGAAATTTGGGACCACTCTCTCAAAATTAGTGCAGTTCCTAGGTAGTAGGGTACCATTTGAGATCTGCTCTGATCAGCTGCACCACACCTCCAAACACTCTCCTCTCTTAACAGACGGTAAGGGGCTGGGGCTCACTTTCACGCCGCTGGATCTTCTTCAGCAGCTGAATGCGGTTGTGGCAATAAAACTTAATAGCTCGCCAGTCGCGATGGTTGTTAACCAGCAGGGGGCACTGCTGGAGGCAACGTTCACAGTCAGCTTTGGCGGGGACTCGGAGCTCAGTAATGTTTCGAGTCAGGTGCTCTTCAACTGCTGCACGTTCTGCCTCAGACCAGGGACGCTTCAGGACACCTCGCTTTCCTACAAGAGGTTACAGATGTAGGAAAGTTAGAGATTACATGTGTTTAACAGCTTCTCTTATTCAGCATGAGGAGAGGGAAACTTCCTGTAGACTCCCCACCTCTGCTCACACTCTAAAAACACATGCAACCATTAAAAGTCACAGTTCTTTTCAAACATTTCAGTGCTTTCCCTGCTCTCATTCCCAAACTTTTAACTGTACACTCCAAGTGCATAAAAACAAACCAGAAAATTCACGTGTTGTAAAAACAGTCAATCTTTAGGATCAGAAAAATATAAATTTCCCGATCAGCTATTTTTTCCCTTTGAATAACCGTTTGTATATTTAAGTTATGTAGAGAACAGAATAAATACAAGCATGTAACTAATATGAAAATTAAACAAACGATTCAATCATTTATCAACTAGCCTGTGTGTGTGAGATATTACAGCAACAACAGGTCATGCATACTAAAACTTGACAGGTGCTTGACAAAACAGAAGACATCAGTGCAAAAATAGGAGTCCACACTTGTGTTGACAACTACCTGTGGTGTATTTTTTTGGCTTTAATAATAGGTCTGCCACATATTCTGTTGCTATTTCACATTTGCATGACAATGTAACAAAAAAAACAAGATTTTGAGATTTCTTTTGGACTTCATTTTTGTTGCTAGTTTCCTAATAACAGAGCTGTCGTGAGTTTAAACTCCTGACAATACTTCAATAGCAGACATATTGCGTACTCATTGTTTTAAAACACAAATTCACAAATTCTGGAACACTTTAAGAACAGCCTGACGATTGGCTCTCTTTCCTAAGTTTTCTACATAATGTACATAGGAAACTGCCTTTTGCAAGAATATGATGCACAGTGACTGTGTGGTGCTAAGAGCATGGCTCCTCTTTGTCTGGCCCTTAATATGAAATGCTAAGAGTCAACTTAAATAATTTATTCCCTTCCAACTGACATGCTACCATATGAGCGGAATGGGTCAGAATGGGCCAAACAGTCCTGGCAATTTCTCAATACTCTGTTTTCTTTCAACACATCTTGTTATCATCAGTCTAATGTCAGCAAGTTGTTCCCTGTTCCAAGCCCGTTTAAATCTGAGAGGATATCTTGTTTACACTGAATAAACCTGAGAACAAACCTGCTCCCGAGTAGGTTTAAGATTACAGATATGTTGCCATGACAAGAAGTCCTACAAGACCTTCAAAGAACCAGCACATCTGGAACCATGTGGAATCATCAACAAAATGATCAGGTTAACCAGTTAATCCACATATGAAGTTGTTTTTTCCTGCTTACTGTGTTTTGTTTTAAAACCCAAACAAATCTGATTTGGACTGACCTGAGCCTCTCCTGCGGTTTGCTGGTGGAGGTGGGGGAGGGGGAGGAGGGGGTGGTTGGCTGTTCTTGAGCTTCTTGGGCCGTCCCACCCGCCCATTGTTCTTCCCTTTCCTGACATACAGCAGGGTAGGCGCAGGGTTCGGAGCAGGTGCAGGGACAGGCGCTTCAGGCTTCTCTTTCACCTGCTCCCCTTCAGATTCTCCCTCCGAGTATGAGTCTGCAGAGTTTCCTGACATAACTGGAGACATTGAGGAGGGAAAAAAGGTTGTGGAGAAAGGGAAAGTAAGAAAGGAGAGGAGGGGAGAGCAGAACTTCATTAGTCTAATCTGTAATTAATCTTTATTTTTCCAATAAAAATCAATTTGGACACAAATATCCACAAACCCCTTTAGAGCCAAGGTTTGTTCAACACCACAGAGGGAGAGGATGATACAAATTGTCTTGGACAACAGAACAAGACCTCAATCCCACTCATTCGTTTAGTCATTCATCCATCTCACCATCCAGTTCCAGGCAGATGTGGTTAAGGCTCATTCCTCTGAACAGCACGCCATCTCTTTCTCCACACAGCACAACTCGGCCCACTCTGCCCATCAGGCCTGGGTCCTGACCAATTCCAGCACAGTTCTGTGTCACATGGTATTCCCTCTCGAGGAAGTGCTCCAGCCTCTCCACAGCGCTGCCTCCTGGCTGCCCAGGCTCCTCTCCTTCTCCCAGAAGCAGCAGCTGGGTTAGGATTGCTACCTGGCGGCGAACCCTGGTCTGGGTCAGGGCACGAGGATTGCGGGTACCGCTGGAGCGGGCCAGGCTTCGGAGGAGGTCAGTGCCTCGCAGTGGTGTGGCAGGGGAGTGGTAAGGCCTGGCGAAGACATATGGGTTTGCGGGGTCAACTCCTACATCCTGTCTTGTCTGTAGGAGGAGCTCCAGACAAGGCTCACAGTGAGGGGGCAGGATAAGGGGTTGCACACGTCCACGTTTACCCTGAACCCCAACTCGAGGGAGGTGAGGAAGCACCAGCCTCTCAAAGGGGGACAGGGAGGCCTCCAGTGGGGTGAGAGCTGGAGGGGTGCCAGGCGGAACAGGAGCAGGGCACTGGGGAGTGACGCGAGCACGATATTCAGCAATGGACAACTTGGAGACCTCACACTCGCGTCGTCGGTTGTATAGGATTAGAAGAGCCAGGCTGGAGTGGCAGAGAAGGCGCCAGGCCTCGGCTGACTGCAGCTGCCGAGACAGGGACAAGAATGCAGAGTGCTGCAACCGACGAAGATACAGCACTAGAGAAGACAAGGATGAGAGGAGGGGCAGCATGTGGTGACGACCCGAACTACTGAAAAAGAAGAGACATGGAGCTATTAGTTGATTTAATCATTTTAAGTTTCACTTACCTTGCAACAATTTAAATGAGTACCAGCTAGCATGTCACTACACAGCCAGGCAGGTATTAGGGGTGAATAGTCATATTTTTGTTTGCATAATTTGTTACTTGTTTAATTGAGCTGCAACTAACAATTATTGTCATTATCGACTAATCTGTTCATTGTTTCTTGTTTAATCCCCTTCTATTTAAAATGTCAGATAATAGATATTTTCAAATACTTTGTTTTGTCCTTCCAACAGTTCAGAACCCAAATATATTCAGGCTACGAGAAAGAAAAGAATCTAATCTTACTATTTTAGACTGTGCCTTTAATTTAAATAATTTCATCAAATTAAGATTGTTAAATTACTGTAGAAGTAGAATGTTAAATTAGAGGTTATTTATTTATTATATCAATTTTGCTGACAACTGCTAAGTTTCTTTTGCTACTTACTGTGGAGACTCAGTCTCACAAATTTGCCCACAAAGCAGGTAAAGACCTTGGGTTACCTCAGCAAGTCCTTTTCCTTATCCTCTGTCCCACTTTCATCTTCCACCTCCATCACTCCATTCTCTTCTTCCTCTTCCTCTTCTTCCTCATCCTCCTCATCTTCCTCTTCTTTTGCTGGCTGAAATTCTTTGGCCAGCTTGCTGCTCAAGGACCGAGGACACACTACCTCTACCTCCTCCTCCTCTTTGGGTTTTTTCACCTCCACGACCTCCACATCTTCTTCATCTTCATCCTCCTCAGCCTCTTCTTCCTCCTCCTGTGTTTCTTTCTTGAGCCTCCTCAATGCTCCTTTTCTGAACTGTGCCACAGCAACAGGCGGTGGGCTCCTCTTTAAGACTGACACTGGCACTGCGTTCTGTCCTCTTGGAGGAGGAGTCAGCACAGGTGGGGTGCAGTTCCTTCCAGAGGAGGCAGGTGATTGGTTAGCTGCTGTTAGGGTGGGCGGAGACATGGAGAGGTCCTGGATGGCACTCTGTGGAAGATCTGAAATGCGGCTCTGTCCCAAGGCCTGTGACGACTTCGAGTGCTGCTGAGTGTGTGTGTGAGCTGCGGCTGGCTTGGTGTTCTGTGCGTGCAAGCGAGGCATCTGTGTGTAGCGCTCGACAAGGGCAGAGCACACTTCTGGTTGGTGGGCGTGGTGTTTATCTAAGTGGCGGCCCAGGGAGCGGAAGTGCCGTCCACAGTACTCACAGGTTTGGCGCATGGAGTCTATGGACACTCCTCCTCTGGGGACATTTGTGTTGATGTTGCTTGTGCTGTTGGGGCCTAGCGGAGCTGGGGCTTTGAACACAGGCTTAGATGAAGAGGAGGAGGATGAACAGGGAGGAGAGGACTGCTGTGGAGGGTGGGATGAAGGAAGTGGACAATTGTAATGAGGAACACTAGCAGGGGAGACTGGTGATGGGCGCCCAGGCAAGGTCCGATGGGGAGTCTTTTTCTTAGAAGGTGTGCTGCGGCGTTTCTTGCGCCGGCGTAATGCCCGCCCACGGGGGCTGGCATTGTCCTCTTCTCCAGCATCTGAATCACTGGGGTCAGAGTGGGAGACGGGGGAAGAGGAGGGGGAGAGGGACCAAGAGGGGGTGACGTGCTCTTGCTGCTGCTGCTGGTGGTGGTGGGCTGTCAGAGAGGGAGGGTCATCGCCCTGGAAGTGAGAGACAGAGAAAAAGAGCATGTTACCTGGTGCCCAGAGACTCTCTGTAGCAGTAATACAATGACAAAAATAAATAACAATAAAAAAAATGTGTGTAGGTTTGTGTTGAAGTTTGGGCACATTCCAAATGCTTTTTTTGTGGTAATAACTAACTTAATTCAGTGCCTCTCAAACATTCTGTCATGTCCTCTGTTGGAAGCCAAAAAAAATCTCATTCACCAACTTGAAGTAAACTTCTTTTTATCCATTAACACTTTAGAGTATTTCTCATATACTCTCTGGCTTACTGTCTTTTGAGTTTGTCATGTCTTTTGTGACTTCCTAATATTTTGTATTTGAGTGACAGTTTTGCTCAATGACAAATCACCTGTTCTTCCCCTTCAGAAATACAGGACTCTGAATAAATCCTGATAACCTGGACCTTGACGGTCTTGCCAGCATCAAAGCACTCTTGTTTAGTTAAGAATCTGATTATTTCCCCTTCAAATGTGCTCCACATTTTTACATGGTCACCTCTAGCACCCCTCTGCAACAACTGTCCCCAGTTTGATCAGCACTGACTTAATGGATTTGCGTTTGTTATTTTCTCAAATTCATAGATGTATTTAGAACTGAGGAAGAATCATAAGACCTTAAAGCTCTATACCTGAAGAGAAAACATACCAGGTGCTTAGAGGTGTTCTTAGTACAAAACTGTGGCACCGCTGGATTTCTAAAGTCACAAAGTTCTGCAAAGCCGTCACCGCTACAGTGGGGCATCACCATTTATAAATGTGAAGTTTGCTGACTTACTGTGAAAGTGTGTTTAATTTTGTCAGTCTAATTACATTTACAGCCAGGAGAGTCATTAAATTTTAAAGTAATAAGCAAATGGTGATGATCACTGGCAAAGGAATCTGCAGTAAATTGTCTGCACATGAGTGATAAGTGATGAAATGCAATGTTTCCCCATTGAACCATTTAGTATGCGACAGGCGGTAGAGACAACAGACAGCGCACTGGCACTAAGCATAAGCAGGTTAAGTTACTTGTGCTTTATTTCTCTCAATGAGTTGCACTCAATGACATCCAATATAATAAACACGCATAATAAAACAATTATCCAGGGGAGGGAGATAAAGACTTGATGATAACGTTGAGGTCGACTCCAACATCAGTGATGTCCACCCACATCAAGGCAGGTGTCATCCTGCAGGCACAGCAGTGCATCACAACTGCATCAAACAATATTTGCTCTCTAAAATTATCGTTTGAATTTTTGTATACAGTATATTTTGTAATACTGCTTGAGCAGAGGGACGGTCAGTACAAACCCATACTGTGCAGACAAACAAACCAACAAAACTTTTATCTTCACTGGAATTAAAAATAAACTTTTCAAAGATATTAAATATGTCATGTTAATATTTGGGGGAAAAAAATTATAATTACTATAACTGACTTTTGGTCACCTGAAGGCAGCAGAAACAAACTGTGAACACAGAACTGACATATCATCCATCACCCTTTAAGCTGATTTAGCCACTTTGTTGGCAAACAGTTTCGTATTTACACATCCAACAGTAATGGAGAAATCAATATCATTCATTTGGGGTCATGTTTCTTGACACCTGATTAATGAATTCAGATGTTCAGTTTTTATATGCTTTTTGTTACTGGTGTCTACCACCTCCTGGGGAAAATATCTTGCTCTTTAATAGCTAAATGCTCCAGTACGTCCACCAGCTTGTCTCTAATTGTGTCTGTGTACTGTCTGATATTAAACAGCTATTGTACATTAGGTTTTAAAAATTTTTTGTTGGTCTAAACACTCTAAACAGCTGCTTGTTGCAGCCAGAAACAATGCTATAAGAGTGATGAGAGTGATAGACAGCTAAACACTAAGCTGAGACTTGCTTTAAAACTCAGTGAAGCTGAGGAAAAACGAATTTTCTGGTGAATATTCTTCGACAGTTCGCCACTAACGATCCTTTCACATTTCAAAGTAATTTCATACATTGTTATCCAAAGAATATCAGTTATTTTAAAGTGATGCCCAAATCGCCTCGAACATTTACTTCTGATGCCAATATTGCATGTTTTATTCTGCATAAACATCATTTAACTTCAAGAGCTGGAACAAACTGATAAAGAATATAGATGCTATATTGTTAGAGTGAGATGAATATTATTATATCAATTTTCATCCTTTCAGCTATACCTTAAACAGAAATACAAGGGAACTGGATGTCAACAGGTTAAGAATTACCCAAACATTAAGTTTTATTTATATGTTTGGGGATTCAATTAAAAAAAAACTTTATAAAACCTAACTTAGTAAAGTAACTAGTTAATATCTAGGGAAAGTCATTTGGGAAAGTCTGAAAATCATTGGGTGTGAGGCAGGTTAAATTAAATGTGGTGATTCATGTACACTATCTTGATATCACTTTTAAAAATACTAAAACCGATGTCCGTCAGACTGTGTGCTTTTAGAAAATAAGTGGTTTTTCTGTTACCTTTTTGATATTGTTGTTCTTCTCAGTGTCAGAGTTGCACTCGTGTTGCGCTGGAGACACAGTACCACAGAAACCCTGTGGGACACAGAGCAGTCACATTAAAACAGTTGGCACACTGCTCATTAATGTTTGCCATCACAATCAGCCTAAGCTGTCACTCAGAAAGCAGGAGGACACCCCTCCACAGTTGGTCGTAAGCACAGAGGTTGATTAAGACTCCAAATCTCCCACCAACAAGCAAAACACGAGAAGTGAAAAGAGATATGCTTTCAAACACCGTCAGCATCTCATCAGTAATAAATGTGGGTTTATCAATCAGCCCTGTATACTTAGAAGAGAAAAAAAATCAGCCTGCCAATAACTGAAACCTACAAACACACATTTTAAACATTATCTAGACAAAATGTAACATATTCAAATAGAACAATTTTGTCAATCTAACTTCAGTTTTGTGTTTTGAGTAAATTCATTCAATCTAATGAGATCCATTATAGGAACAGATGTCATGTAATGTAATAACCATGGTTACCGTTGCTAAAGCACTATAGGTAGAGAGAGATGGAGCTCTGCCATCACCATGGTAACCCCATGCCTTGCTTAGCTTTGTGTGTGTAGCACAAATGTGTGCGCAGGGGGTAGTGTGAATATGTGTCTACGTGCACGCATGTGATAAACGGTGAGTGCATGAAGTTGATCAACAGTGTGTGAATGCACATATGGTTGCCTATGTGAAGTCAGCAAATATGTGCACAGTCTATGAGCGTATTTCTACACTTACAAGCCAAAGACAGATGAAAAAACTGAAAAGTGAGATCATATCATTGCCTGAAGTGGTTGGATCTGGATTAGAAAGTTTAGAATTGAGGTTAAAATCAGATTTGGGATCAGGTAGTGTTAGAATTAAGGTTAGACAAATTAGACGAGGAAATTATTGTGAAGCAAAAACAAGCACGAGAGGCTCCCCCAGTCAAAACATTTTGGGACTCATTCACAAACAGTGCATACGCACAAATCTGTGCTTCAATCGTGTGTATGAACAATTTACGAACAAATCCAGGATTCATCATTATTTTCTTACCTAAATCTGTTCATGAAAACAAATTCAGTGCTGCCTCAGAGCATGCATATGAACAAATGATGAAGGCCCGGATGTAAAAATGCAAACAAACACATTTTAACTAAAATTGCGTTCATTAAAAAGGCTTTAATAGTTAATAAGATTCAATATATAATAAAATATATATTAAGCTTTTCATCATTAATTTGGCCAAATGTAGCCTATCAAATGACCATGAAAATAAGTGTAGCCTATCAAATGACCATGAAAATAAGGGTTATAATTAAAATATTCAACTATCCCAGTGTCCCAGTTCTAGCTTACAAATATATGAGAGTATATATTGTTTTTTTACTGACTTGCTCCTACCAATTAGTGCCATAAAATTATGCATATGTAGCCAGTGTTAACTGGTACCCACCTGGTTAAGCTGCAGCCTATTAAAAGCCATGCCAGATATATATATACACGATTCTGATTTAAGTCTAATTAAGTGTTAAAATTTTGCAGGGCTTAATGGTGAGGGAATAAATATCCTCACATGTGCTCACAAGTATATTTACAGGAACATTACGTGTATAGTTTTATTCCATCTGTGTTTCAAGGCACTGACCAGGTTCTCTCCCCACTCTGTCAGGCTGTAGTCCACAGTGATCTCCTCTCCCTTGGTGATGTCTCGGATGGCGATAACAACCAACCGCACCTGGCTCCCACAGTGGACCTCTCGGATACGGCAGTTGGGGGAGGGAGGAAAGGAGCTGGCTGTTGGGGCCGGAGCAGAGGGTGTTGGGGCAGCCGGAGCTACAATTCAGCACCCCTTCAAGGGGGTAGCACTAAAATCAAGCTCCAGGGATGTGATGGGGGAGGGGGTGGAGGAAGCAGCTGGAGCCGGTGTAGAAGCTGAACAGGAGCTGTTTTTTGATCCGCTGCTAACTTTGTCACGAGTCTGCTCCGATGGGCCGCTGGGAGGTGAAGAGGGTGGGGGACTTTTCATCAAACATAATCTGTTGGTCTGTTTTGATTCTATTCCCATAGTAGTGCATTCAATAATTTTTAAAGCACAAATACCAACCATTTAGTTGTATTTTTCTCTTGCAGCCCCAGTACTGTTCTAGCATATCCTGTTAAAGTCCACGATTCCAATTCATTACACATTTTGTCAAATTTGGCAACGGTTTTTCTTGTTCCTCTCTGTGTGTGTGCTCAGAATACCTTGTGTGTTTGTATTCAGTCCTGGCCCTGTAACTGGGGAAAACGAATCTGACTCAGGCCATGTAATTACCAATTGTCAGCACAAGGAGCACTGTTGCTTGTACACATCAAGACGGGTACACTCGTACCAATTCCACCACTTCTAGTTGCGGCCTATACAACTAAAGAGGAAAACTGAAAAAGAAGAACTATGATCAAGCAAGACTGAATACCTGTATAAGCATGCATAAGTGCCCCCTTCCAGCAATGGAGACAGCTTCGAGATTTGAATGGCATGAGAACAGTCTTTTTCTGCTGGACAGGTTGATAAACTGTTTGCTATGTTCAATGCACTGGATTCTGGCACGTCTCATTTTCTCCTCATTAATTCTGGGAGGTGTAGTCTTTCACCAGAATCATAGACTATGCTTTTAATAGGGAAATAGGGATTTTTAAAACAAGGTACAGGAACAGAATTGAAAGTCTGTTTTCTCATTCTTCTTACCAAAAAGGTCTGTCTTTAGCTATAGGGCTCTATTGAAGTTGAAAGACTGTAAAGCAAACACAGAGAATCCACCCATACAAGCTCGTGTCAGTGCTTCAGGGCAGTGATTCTTAAATCTAGTTCACAGAGTGTTACTGATTTTCTCAGGGGCCGGAGCAGAGGGTGTTGGGGCAGCCGGAGCTACAATTCAGCACCCCTTCAAGGGGGTAGCACTAAAATCAAGCTCCAGGGATGTGATGGGGGAGGGGGTGTCCATGATTGGTTAAATATTCGCATCTTCACACCTCAAGCATTAGCGAGCACAGTGTGTAAAGAGGCACTGATACTACACTGGTTTAGAGGTAAAATGACTTCACTCATTGGTTTAGAGGCAAAACGGGGACTTCAATGAGTGGGCCATGGGCAACGCTGTGAAGACGTCACATTGACTGTTGCACTATGATACTTCATATCCCCTGTTCTCCCATGTTCTCCCACTGCTCAGCTGACTGTGTGTGAGAAGGGTGCAACACTCCATCCCCCAAAAAAGAGACAGACAGAAATATAGTGGAAAAACACAGCAGGATGGTCCGTGTCAACCTGGGAAGAACCAGGGCGAAGTACAGAGTATACTGCTCGATATGTTCCAATAGTGGAAATGCAACAAAAGAAAGGTCATCCCCATGGCATTCTAAATGTAAAAAGTAAATAAATAAAAATTAACAAACCAAAACACAAGTGTTTACTCACCAGCTGTGATGAGGAACAGGCTCTGCATTGTAGAAAGGCCCGTCCAGATTAGGACGCTTATTCTCTGCTACCTCCTTACGGTCACCTGTGAGCACAGCAATAGGCTATATAAAAGGATTACATTCAAGTATGCAGAGACACACGCACAGAGGTCATCACCCCATCTCCTTAAGTACATACATAGGTGCACATCATAGAACATACAGTACAGGCAAGCATACACACGCACACACACACACACACACACACTACAGAAGTAGGTCATACTCACACACACTCCACCCCCATTCCAGTCACACACACACAGTTGATGGCACTAAGAATATAACATTCAGATGTAACATACACACACACACGCACACACACACACACACACACACACACACACACCTGGGCTGAAGCTGTGTTCAGACACGCTCTCCTCCTCAGTATGTGTAACAAAGACTTTCACGGGGGTTCCTTTCCTTTTCCTTCCACAGCCGCGTCTGCAGAGAGCATACACATACAAGCAATTATTTAATCAATTAGCCCATGGGCCAAACCTCACATCAATCAGAGATGGTTGTCAGTATATCCAATAGTTGCTATGCTATGCATAATTGTATGTACTGACACCTAAACATTTTTAAGATCCTTACCTTGAAGAACAAACATTTTTCTGCAACACACTTTTTTTTACATTTAAATGCTATGACTGAATCACCCATATAAAGAATTCTGCCTAAATAAAATGCAATCTAAAATTGGTAAAGATATTATTTAAATCCTTATGATCAAAGAACAAGTAAAGAAGAGCATAAAACTGGCCGGTTAATAACTTTCAGTACTCAGTCAGTACCAAAAAAATACTGAGGTTCGGTCCAAAGCCCTATATATATAAATTTCAGCAAATGAATGATTCAAACACTTCTAGAATAAAAACTGAAAATACCCTGCTCACACTATCAGATTTTTACAAATGAGTACTGTTAAGGTTCAAGAGGCACACACAACAAACTAACAAAATAACTTCAATACCACACTGACCATAGTAGGTTTTGACAATGTGCAGTAGTTAGTTTATAGTTGCTCTCAGCCCTGCATCACCACTTAAAGAGTGTGCCCAGAAAGCTTCAAATGCAGCCACCTGTGTGAGAATGGCCAAGCAAGATTATCTTCTTCAGACTAAATCCACACCAAAACCGTTAACACCGAAAAGCCAAATTGATCCTGCCTCTGCCGATTCTGGGCTAGTTCTACCACAGATCTCAATATTGTTTTCCGTCAGTCTATTTTTTACTCGCATGACATTGGAGGCTCTTAAAACTAGGCCATAGGAAGATCGTGCTTAGATTCTGAAGTGTTCATTACTGGCTGTGTGCATGTGTGTGTGCGCGTGTTTGCATGCAGACATAAGAGAAAGAGAGAGAGAGAAAATGAGAGGATGAAAAGGGGATATGAGAGAGAAAAGTGAAGCAGAAGAAAACAGGGAAAGGGAGCAAAAGAAAAAAAAGAGAGTGAAAGAACAGAGAGAGAAAAAGACAGTCATTCAGCAGAGATATCAACCAGACCCACTGTCTTTGTATTGATCCACTCTACTCCCATCTGGACTTGTGATACTATGCATGCATGTTTCTGTGTTTAAGGGAGTACAGTGCGTGCCTGCATGCGTGCTCATATATGTAGAGTTTTTTGAGAAGCTTTCCACTGCAACAACCAACCACAAAATCCCTGGCTATGAAAATCTACTCAAACATTAAACGTAATAGTAACCACAAAATCATAAGAAAGCTTAAGCACTGAAAAAAAAGATGTATTCCCAAAAGAAATAAGTCACAGTACTGTTGCTTACAACACAGTAAAGAAATAGTTCAAACAAACTGCTTAAAGATCTGAGCAATCTTTCACATCACCTCAGGATTAGTGCTGTGTAAACATTACAAACAGCTCTTAAGGATGTCATAACATCACTGACCAGTTTCAAGTGTGTCCTCCATACTATTGCACTAAATTGTGATATTTACTTATCACAGCACTGTAAATATAACATGACCCCATAACGGCCAAACCGTCAATAATACATTTATAAGATCCTCTGTGGACACCACAATCCCCCACCACACACCATGTTGCAACACCATGAGCTCCTTTTCAGATATGTATACTCAAAAGTAGGGTTAGGCAGTATCAGAGCTTTCACTACCACAGAAAGGCTTAGGTGAGGCACCTAGGTGATTTTGCGGTGCATCTAAGCCAAATATGTGTACAAAAAGGTGATATATCAGAATGAATGTAAAACCAACCGTGAGCTACAGTATATGCGCTGTAAAATAATGGAGAGGCGACTTGATCTCAAAATAAAATGTAAGATGGCAACAAGAATGACCTGTCAATCAACAAAGATATGTGTAATTGACAGCTATCAAACACCTGACTGGACATTTCTCTGTGCCATCAACTCAGGGCAAAACAACAGGCCTACATAAAAGTAGGCTATAATTTTGTTGGGGAGTAATCTTTGTGAATGATAACAACAGAGACAGCAGAAAGTAGCCCATTTCCCACATAAAGAAATTAACATGTACTGAAGTAGCTAAGTTACGTTAGCCAAAGAAGCTAATTAGTTGATGTTACATAAATGTAATTAATATAAGTTTCCTTCACATAATTATAAAAAACACCTAAGCCATCTAAATACTACGTACTGTAAGAGGATTACAGCCACTGTACAAAATTTGTTTCTTTTTTCTCAGAATTCTAACTTTAATCGTAGTAATTAGAATTCTGAGAAAAAAAAAGACTGAGATTAAAGTCAGAATTCTAAGAAACAAACAAACTCATACATTTTGTTCAGTGGCCCTAATGCTCTTCCGGAGAAAACCTAGGGACATCCCTAGGACCGAAATCTGTGAAGAAACATACCTACACTGAAATAAATCACGATATGACAAACATGCAAAATCACATATGACATAATCAAGCTGTTAAGTGTGATATTTCATTCTTGACCTTGGAAATAGTTTCAAAATGAGCTGAAATCAATCTCTATTTCCTAGCTTTTTCCTTGAGCTTTCAGCCACAATTCACTTTCATACTGAGGTAATGTGGTGACAGCTGATCCATCTCCAAGACAACTGAGCAAACTCCATCTGATCATTAAGACTGAAAAGGGTTCAAACATCCACAAAAACCAGTAAGTGAACCCTCAGGTATAATTATTTTGTGAAATCAAGCTCATGTTCAGCAAGGCAATGAATTCTGTTTCTGCGTACAGTTAAATTCATTGGACAGACTTTGTACAACTAGAACATAAAATGGTCGTATCATCAGAATATAATTTCACAAGTGAAAGGTGGCAAGTTATAGGGCTGAATTATTGCCCTACCCAAAAGACTATAAAGTTAATATTACAAGTCGGGTGTACAAAAATGCAGCAACAGTTGTTCGCGCTCACACAGGCAGGCTTAGCTACCGGTCCTGAGCTACACTTGATTCTAACAGGTCACCAGGTTTTCCCAAAAAAAAAAAAAAATACACCATATTCCTCAAAGTTTATATTTTGTTGTATTATTTTGGGCATTTTGAGTGTGTGTCTGTGTGCTCAGTTTTGGTTCAGTGAGTTTCTGGGAACTTTGTTGCCAACAAAATCTGTCTCACCTTCACTCCTTCAGTGAGCTGACCCCTCAATCCCCCCATTCCTGTCTCATTTTGTCTCACCCTCTCAATCGATTCTCTCACTCTCCCTGCACATTTCTCTCATATTTTGTTGTATTATTTTAGGCATTTTGAGTGTGTGTCTGTGTGCTCAGTTTTGGTTCAGTGAGTTTCTGGGAACTTTGTTGCCAACAAAATCTGTCTCACCTTCACTCCTTCAGTGAGCTGACCCCTCAATCCCCCCATTCCTGTCTCATTTTGTCTCACCCTCTCAATCGATTCTCTCACTCTCCCTGCACATTTCTCTCCCTTCTTCACTCCAACTAAAGCACACGCACATACACACGGCCCCCTCCCACCAACCCACATGCATGCACAAATACACAAACAAGTCCATACTCAAGACCCACATATGCGTGAGCACACATACAGACAGTCCACATGTGCACACAAACACACCTCCCCCTCTGTGGCCCACATGCATGCACAAACACACCCACACACGCACACATTCACACAGGCACGCAAACATGCAGTCTCACACACACAGCTCCCTCTCAGGCTTATAGGCACGCAAAAACACACACACACACACACACACACACACACTACACACAAATACCCTTTCTCCAGCCAAGCTCACATGCACGCAGACATACACTCATCCCTTCCCTTCTCTCTAAAACACACGGGCACGCACACACACACATGCAGGAAAGCTCACTCTAGTGCGCACACACTCGCTCGCTCTCTCTCTCTCTCTCTCTCTCTCTCTCCAGTGCTCAGTTTCTCTCTCTCAAATAACCAAACCCACAGTCTCATGTTCCATCTCTGACAGACATACACACACACACTTTTTCCCTCTCTGACACGCACACAAAGGCAAGCATGCACACATACAATCTGCACATTCGATTCTCAGACTCATGCATACTGTATCTGCTACAGTACATTCCCTCCTCCTCTGTATTGCATACACACAAACACACATGCTCTATCAAACACATTATTCTTTCTCAGCCACAAACAAATATGTGTGTGCTTGTGGATACAAACACACAACCTCTGGTCACGCAACTGTTTCTCCTGCTCATTCCACATACGTTTAGATTACACACAAACATGATCACTCACATACAAGACACATGTACAAACTCAATAAGCCTCATGTACACTCTGTCCTTCATGGAGAATGTTCTCTCTCTCTCTCTCTCTCTCTCTCTCTCTCCCTCTCTCTCTCACTCTCTCTCCAACACACACACAGAATCCTCAATAATAAAACAGATACAAACACACACCACTCGCCCTCCCCCCTTCTTACATATACCATACCACCCACACAGTGTGCACATAACACACAAACATACTTTTCCTTTGAGCATGTGTACACACACACACACACACACACACACACAGACTGTCCTTTCCTCTTTCATAAACAAAGTAGATGCATAAACACTCTCTCCTTCCCTCTCTATGACACACACAAACACACTGCCCTTGTCTAGGAGCCACACACACACACACACACACACACACACACACAGAGATACACACACAAACCTTGTGTCTGTCTCCCTCATGACACACACTCCCTCCCTTTCTTACTAACTGCAGAACAAACACACACACACACACACACACAATCACACAGAGAGACAGACATACGCACACCTCTCGTTCCAGAACAAATACACAAACAGAGAGAAAAAACACACACAAAGACACACACACAGCATATGCACTAGCTACCAAGCCTTCTTTTTCAGTTTCCAAGACACACACACACCCTCCCCTTCTGTTTCAAAAGCTTGGACACACACACACACACACACACACACACACACACACACGCACAGAGAGAAATCCTCACCCTGTCACACACCCTCCCTTCTCTTTCC